TTGGCGTAGAGTAGGTGGATGAGGCCCCAGGGCCTGAGTTCTCGGCAAGGCGCCCAGATAAATTGTGTTCTTTCTGCAGGTTCCTCTGACTTCCGCTAGGCCAGCTAAAGTTCTTGTTTACACTGATTCATTCAGCAGTTATTGACACTGTATTTGCCTTGTGGCTGCAAATTCCGAATTCACAGACCAGTGGGAGGAACCAGGACACAATGAGGAAGGAATGACAAATGTTGTGATGGGGAGCTGACAAGGATACTGAGAAGCCCCCTAATCCAAAAGGGCTTTCCAAAAGAGGTGGCTCAAGTTGAATGTCATAGGGCAACCTGGGAAGGGTAGTCAAGGCAAAGGGAACAAAGTGTGCGGGGCCAGGTAGAAGAATGAAGTTTTTCACTCTATTGCGGCTCTCGGGTCACCTATCCAGACTCCTGTAAGCCTTAAAACGTGCCATAGGTATCTCCTACCCTCATTGCCTTCTGCTTTCATGACCATCTCTTGACTATATTTCTGTGAACAGCCTACCTGCTGTTGCTCTTTAGTCTGGCTTCCCCTAATTACAATGCACACAGCTGTCAGTGAGAGTTATCAAAAATATAAATCTGTTGTTACCCTGCATAAAACTTTTAACAGCCTTCAGGTGTTAAAATTCCCAGTTTGGCTCACAGCATAGAAATGGGTCACAATCCCATCTTAACTGCTCCTACATGAGCCCTGTGTTTCTTTTTCCTGGGATGCTCTTCCATCCCCTTCAGGATCCCACATTCAATTGTCTTCCCTTTCCTAACCACCCTATCATACCCTCTCTGCACTGGCAGTACTATGTCTTACCCTTTGCAAAAGAATTTTTCATTTATAAGCTAGAGTTCTTCAAAGGCCAAGCATCTAACCAGGTGTGTGCTGGCACAGACTCACTTGAGACCTGGAGTTAGAGGCCAGCCTGGGCAATGTAACCAGATCCTACATTTAAAAAAAAAAAAAGAAAAGAAAAGAGAAAGAAAGAAAAGAAAAAGCCAAGAATCTAATCTAAGAGGTGCTTCATAAATGTTTCATAACATAGTTATAAATTGTTGCATAACATCAACAATTTATTCATGGATTACTAGGGCCAAGCATAAAGCTAACTGCCTTCTATGCATTATCTCATTTAACTCTTCACAATATTATGAGCCAGCATTTTATAACTATCCCCGTTTCACAGATGAAGAAACTGAAGTTCAAAGAGTTTAAGTAACTTGTCTGGAGATACACAGTTGCAGAGTGAGGAGTTCACATTCAAATCCTGGAAGAAGAGAGCTCTGATCACTCTACTATGTCCTCAAATTTCTGGTATTAGCAAGGGTGGCAGAAATCTACATTAAAAAATAAGTCATTCCTGGATTATGATCTAATGAAAAACAGATCTTCAGGACCCACCTCACACACCCCTGAACCTGCTCTGGGAAATGGGGGCAGGGAAAAGGGCACCTTCCCTTCTGTAGATGACTCATCCTCACCCTGGTTTAGTCACAGGGTGTCACAGGAGCAGAAGCCATCCCAATATGAATTCTTGTTCTTTGGGAAATAGGAGTGCCTGACTTCATTTCCCAGGTTCAAGACAGGACCTCATCCAGAGGCTGCCTGTGAAGTTCCAGGCCCCCTCCTTAGAACAAGGACAAGACAAAATATTAAGAAAAGATAGCACACGTCTGTAATCCCAGTGGCTCAGGAGGCTGAGATAGGAGGATCATGAGTTCAAAGCCAGCCTCAGCAATGGTGAGGCACTTAGCAATTCAGTGAGACCCTGTCTCTACAAAAAAGAGGGCTGGGGATGTGGTTCAATGGTTGAGTGCCCCTGAGTTCAATCCCTGGTACCAAAAAGAAAAAAGGTATGGGGATGTGACTCAGTGGTTAAGCATTCCTAGGTTCAATCCCTAGTATCAAAAAAATAAATAAATAAATAAAAAGGAAGAAGCCAGGCATGGTGGCACATACCTATAATCCCAGAGACCTGGGAGGCTGAGCCAGGAGAATTACAAGTTCAAGGCCAGCCTCAGCAATTTAGTGAGGCCCTAAGCAACTTAGTGAGACCATGTTTCAAAATAAAAAATAGAAAGGGCTGGGATGTAGCCGAGGGGTAAAGGACCCCTGAGTTCAATCCCCACACTATAAAAAAAAAAAAAAAAAGCAAAATAGTCATAACTGAGTTGGAAACCCAGTCACTAAAATGTGTCCCTTTTTTTTTTTTTTTTGGTACTGGGAATTTAACCCAGGGGTACTATATCCCCAGCCTGTTTTATTTAGAGACAGGGTCTTGTGAAGTTGCTTAGGGCTTTACTAAATTGATGAGTCTGGCTTTGAACTTATGATCCCTCTACCTCAGGATTATAGGTGCATGCCACCATGCCCAGCTGTGTCCCTACTTGGGGCACAGAGAGTCTACAAATCTAGAGGCCAATGATTTGGGATCAGAAGTGGCCTTGAGACAAGAACTTAATTGGTCCATCCTGCCCCTTCTTCCTTTATTTTCTCTTTTCCCTCCCCTTTCCTTCATACCTAAGGATTTGTAGCTATAATGGCGTTTTTTGTCCCCTGATAAGCCTGAGACCTACCCTACAAAGTCAGTGATTTCCTTCATTCCATTCCTAAAGGAGAGTCTAACACACAGTAGCCATTAAGTAAATACTGGCTGAATGAAGAAATGAATGAAGAGTCAAAATGGGCTTCTTAAAATTGGCAGAGATCCCCTAGATTTCTCTCAGAATGTCTGCCGAGGTCAAAATTCATCCTTGGTTACCAGAGTCACTGGACACAACAGTACATGTCTACAGTCCCAGATAGCTACTTAAGACGCTAAGGCAAGAAGATCACTTGAAACCAGGAATTCAAGGCCAGCTTCAGAAACTAACTTTCTTTCTTTTCTTTCCTTTCTTTTCTTTTTTTCTTTTCTTCTCTCCCTCTCTCTCTCTCTCTCTCTCTCTCTCTCTCTCTCTTTCTTTGGCTGAGGATTGAACCCAGGGCCTTGTGCATACAAGGTAAGCACTCTACCAACTGAGCTATATCCCCAGCCCCAAGACTGTATTAAAAAAAAAAAAATTACAGGAGCTGGGGTTGTGGCTCAGAGGTAGAACACTTGCCTAGCATGTGTGAGGCACTGGGTTAGATTCTCGGCACTACGTATAAATGAACAAAATAGAGGTCCAAATAAAGTAAAATAACACCATTTTTAAAAATATAGAAACCAGGCATGATGGTGCACACCTGTAATCCCAGACATATGGAAAGTTGAGGCAGAAGGATTGTAAATTCAAGGCCAGCCTCAGCAACTTAGTGAGACCCGGTCTCAAAATAAAAGGACTGAGGGTATAGTATAGCTCAGTGGTAAAACACCCCTAGGTTCAATCCCCATACCACCAGAAAAAAAAAAAAAAAAGGAAGAATCACCTCAGCTGACCCCTGCCTTATGTGTGTGACCTCAATCATTTGCAGATGCTCCAATTTGCTAGAGAAGGAAGTGTTGTTACAGTTATAAAGTTGTAATTGCATGGAACTCAATGTCTATCTTATCTATGTGCTTCATGGAACTACTGTTACTTCTGATAAGAGTAGATAAACAACGATTGTGGTGGTTTTATTTTTCTGAAAATAAAATTTAGGGGAAGGTATCAAATATATATGTGCTCACAGGATGACAACAGGCACCAAATAGTAATCTATTGTTTGGTACTCATTGAGAACTTCTATCCTAAACTGGCCCAATGGTTTGGTACACACCTGTAATCCCAGTGACTTGGGAGGTGAAGGCAGGAGGATCACGATTTCAAGACCAGCCTCAGCAACTTAGTGAGACTCACAGCAACTCAGTGAGATCCTGTCTTAAAATTAAAATAAGGGCTGGGGACATAATTTCAGTGGCAGAGACTCCCTGGGTTCAATCCTCAGAACTACTAAATAAATAAAGACTGAAGATGTAGTTCCTGGGTTCAATCCCCACTACAAAAAAAGAGAGAAAAAGAATCCTAGGTAAGGAATCTCAACACCCTAGGCCTGAAGCCCGGCTCCACACCAAAGCTTTTCCTTGCTTCTAAGTTCTGCATGTGCCATTTCTTCTGCCCACAATGTTCCTACCCTTGGGAAAGCCCTTAGCTGCCTGCTGATGAGCTGTGGTTGCAGCCTGCAGCACTCACTTCCTAGCTTCTTGGCCAACACTGTTTTTCCTTTGGAGAGTCATCTACTCTCTCCTACTCTTGGTCCTTGTGGTTGGGTGTGGTTCTGGTAGCATCCGGCTGCAGGACAGGCACATGACCCAAGTCTGGCCAATCAAAATACAGTTTTCTAACTTCAGGGACTGGATCGGAGCCTAGCACCTCATTCAAGTTGGTCCACTGATTTTCACCTCCCAAGACTTTCAAATTATTGGGGAATGGGCACTTTCTTTTTCTATCCTCCAAGGCTAGAGCCACTAGCAGCTGCTGCTATCACTTTGCCTTGAGGGTGGTACCTGCTCACATCGCCACAGAGAAAAACTGAGCCAAGAGTCGATTTCAGATACCTTTGAACGCCTAGAAATAGTACCCCCATCCCAGATTGTTAAATTGCTAATGCTGACAAATTTTCTTTTCTGCTTAGATCAGTTTGGATTGGGTTTATCCCTTTTGACAGAATTGGGACTAGAGGATCTGCCTCAAATTTCTTCTTCTCTACAAAATGTTTATTGCTCTTGCCCACAGGAGCTGATCTCTCATCAGTGTGCCTTTGGTACTCGCACCACCACACTGGACTGGGCCTCTGTCTGGCAGCTCGGCGTGCCCTGCCAAACTATTCAGTCCGGGCCTCTGGGTTTCTTTGCTCCCAGACCACAGCACTGGGCAGTGAATCCACAGTGCAGCCACTGGCAACTCTTGCTCTTGCCCCTAGGGAGGACGCCCTGTTCCCCCCCCCCCTTTTTTTTTTCTGGAAGACAAAAATTGCATTACAAAGTCCCTGATTGACCTCTTTCTTTCCTAATATTCACAAGAAGACCATGCTGGCAAACACATATTGCTTTATTTAGTGTTTCTCCAGATTGCAAAAGTGTCGGCAGTGGGCTGAGACCCCTGGAGGGCACAGAGGCAGCTGGGCAGCCCCCAGGCCCTCTGGGGCAGAGGGGAAGCAGCAGAAAGAAGTGATGCCCCTGCCAGCCCCTTCTCAAGGTCAGCCCCTTCCCCATGCACACAAGCCAGGCAGAGGCCAGGCCAGTAAAGACTCTAAATCTTAAACTGGGTCAAAAGTGTATGGGAGGGAGTTGTCATCCTGAGGCATGAACTCAGGCAGACGTGTTCCTCCCAACTGGTGGCCCCCAAGGGTGATTGCTGGTCAGGGAGCCAGATGCACACTTAAGACATGACCCATGTTTTATGGGGTTCCCCTGTCCCTGGGAGTGGCAGTGAAGTGTGCTGAGGATGGGGCTGCAGTCCTAGTTTTGCCCCAACCTACAGTATGACCTTGGTCAATGCCTTTTCCTCTTTGGGCCTCTGTCTCTAATTCTGTTACCCCAGGTAGCTAGACTATATAATCTGAGTTTTCCAAATTTTATGGTTTAAGACTTCTTTTCCCACCCCAGGATGCCCTCAGACTGGGGATGACAATATTAAAAGGGCATTTGTTATTTATACTGGGGCTTGAACCCAGGGCCTCACATATGCTAAGCATGGGCTCTAACATCAAGCTATACCTTCAGACCCTAAAAGGGCATTCTTAAGGCAGGAAGAAGGCAGGCAAAGGTGGTCTCAGCCCCCAGGTGGAGGTCAGATAGGGCTGCAAAAGGTATATGTGGACAGACAGGCAGGCAGGCAGACAGACAAGGTGCCAAGGGAACGAGAAGAGGGTGGCCTGGCCAGGGGAGAGGGGCCCACAGCCCAGCCCACCCAACCTCTCAGCTACATTCCTTGCCCTGTTTGAGTCAGGAAAAACACATCCAGTGTGCCTTGGGATAGGAAAATGGCTTTTTTTTTTTAAAAATAGTTTCCTATAAAGCATCAAAAAATCTCAGAGAAAATCTCAGCAAAAATTCCCTTCTCTCACATATTTGGCATCAGCATTGGGCTGGCATGGCTTGCTCTGGCCCTGGCTTTCCTATTGCTGTGGCCCGGCCTGGCCCACTCCTGGGGTAGCTCCATAGCCCCTGCTGTTTCCTTGAGAGAGGAGTGAGCAGGAGGCAGGAGGCTGCAGGTGGGCTTTGAGGTGTCCCTGGGTCCCTGTCTGGAAGCTCGAGTCTTTGGTAACTGGGAAGGAGAGAATGGGTAAGCAAAGCATTGAGAGTTCGGAGGGGATCCAGTGGGCACCTTCATCACCGAGAATTCAGCCGTGGGGCCACCTGTGGGGGTGTGGGAAAAGTCAAAGTGGTGAGTGGGCAGCAGCTGCTCTGGGTACTTGTCCCAGGTTAAATACAGGCAATAGCAGACTAGGGTGGGGTGGGGTCTAGTGGCCTCACTTCTCAAGACTCTAATCCTACTCCATAGGAAAACTTGCTGCCTTAGCCACAAGCAGGGCTCTCCTCCCATCTAGGCCACTATCAATCAGCCTGGCTCTCCCCTACAACCTCATATTGTTAGGTGTTTTTTGTTTATTTTATTTGCAGTACTGGGGACTGAACCCAGGCCAGGGGTGCTGTACCACTGAGCTACATCCCAGCCAACCCTTTTTATTTTTTGAGACAGGGTCTTGCTAAGTTGCCCAGGCTGGCCTCAAACTTGTGATTCTCCTGCCTCAGCCTCCCAAGTTGCTGGAATTATAGGTATATGCCACAGCATCCAGCCCTCTGCTGCTATTTTTATGAGCTTCCTCATGGGAGTTCTCAAATGGTCCCTCTGGCCCTTCATGGATGGGCAATGGGATAAAGCGGGTGGTGGTACAGTGCCCTTCGGATTGAGACCACGATTGAAATGCCCAGGCTCTGCCCAGCACTGCCAAGGAAAGCTTGGATACTAGAGGCTCTACCTTAGTCCAAGGACTATCAGCAGGAAGTATGGTATTGCCTGCTGGCCTTACCACAGCCAGGTGCCCATTCTTGGCCTTGGTGATAAGCAGCTCTGAGCCAGGTGTGAAGTCAATGATGCCATCCCTGCCAGGTCCCCCTGCAAATGTGATGCTAGAGGGAAAAGAGCACATAAGGACTTTTTCACAGAGACAGACTCCCTAGGGTGGGTCCCTGCCCTGTCCTTAGCATCAGAAACAGCCCACTCACCACCTCCAATGCCTTACCTGCCCTGGTTGATGTTGATGTTGTTCACACGATCCGCACTGAGGGCTGTCTTGGTGAGTGTCTCAATCACATGGTCACTCTGTAGTACCACATCCCCCTGAATGGCCAAGACAGCTTTAGGAATCAAGCCTTGTCCTGAGCTACAGGACCCCTCCCACCTCCCAAACCCTAAAGGCTCACCTTCTGCTTATTGTCCTCACGCTGCACATGAAGCACAAAGAGGCTATCACTCAGGCTGCTGACAGAGATTCCTAAGGGGGGAGGGCAGAGGTCAGGGATCAAAGGTCAGAGCAGGGTCCCTCCCTACACAGCCTTGGACTCTGGCTGACCAGTCAGGTTGGCGTAATCGATCCTCTGCTTGACTTTGGCATCCTCCACGATGACCACAGCGCTGGGTGTGAGCAGTAGCTGCCGGGAGCGAGGCTTGTAGCCCTTGCGGTCGTATTTCACTACTGGCACGGCATACTGAAGACAGAGGGCAGGGTGAGAGATAGGGAAGGGACTGAGTGGCTAAGCAGCTTCAGGGATGACCTTATTGCCATTTTTTCATTTTTGAGGGGTACTGGGGATTGAACTCAGGGACACTCAACCACTGAGTAACATCCCCAGCCCTATTTTGTATTTTATGTAGAGTCAAGGTCTCAATGAATTGCTTAGCACCTCACTATTGCTCAGGCTGGCTTTGAACCTGTGATCAGCCTGCCTCAGCCTCCTAAGCCACTGGCATGCACCACTGTGCCCAGCTATGGGATGACCCTCTCTGTTTTGTTTTGTTTTTTAAATTTTTTGGTGCTAGGGATCAAACCCAGGATCTGTGCATGCAAGGCAAGCAGTCTACTAACTGAGATATATCCCCAGCCCCTGGGATGACCTTCTTATCCTCCACCTGTGCCCTGACCCAACCACTTCCAGACCTTGGGCAACAGAATTGTGCTGGGCTAGGGACTACAGGCAGGGTCTCACCTGGATGGATTCAGAGCCTAGGGCCTGCAGCACTTTGGGACTGATCTCATCTGTGCCTGCAACCCAGATGGGGGAGAGAGTAGTCAGAGAAGTTGAGAGGGGAACAGGATGGTTTTTTTTGTTTGGTTGGTTTACTGGGGATTAACCCAGGGGTGCTTAATCACTGAGCCACATTCCATATTTTTAATTTTGAGACAGAGTCTCACTAAATTGCCCAGGCTAACCTTGAACTTGTGATCCTCCTACTTCAGCCTTCCAAGTCACTGAGATTACAGGCATGTACCACTACACCTGGCCAAGATGGAAGGTTGGAGGACTAAAAAATCAGGGGCTCACCAAGCCGTGTGCTGATGAAGAGTCTGGGGACACTCTGGGGGTAATTATCCTTCTTGCCTTTGAAGATCTCACTAGCCACTGCCTTTTGCTGAAGCTGAGGAAACAAGGGGAGTGGAGGAGTGTTATAAGGGGTGGGGAACATGGGGAGCATGGAGGCCCAGCCTCAGAAATCAGGAGAACCTCCCTTAGCTGCTCTCAGGTCCCAGGAAACTGGGACCAGCCACCAGTACTCTCTTTGCCTTTTCCCCAACCAACCAAGGCAGAGAGCTCCCCAGAAGAGTCATAACAGCACTGTTAGCATCCAGGCCAGACTTTGGGAATGATTTCCAAAACAAATACATGTTAGGCTCTGGAGCCCCCAAGATTCAGTTTTGGCTTGGAATCTTATAGAGGACTGATTGCTAAATATTCAAAGCTACTACAGATTATCTGAGTTGGGTGGGTGCTTTATCAATACTGTGTTTGCAAACACAAGGCACATCACCCATCAGTATCTGACTCCATGATTAGGGCAGACATTAACAACTGATCACAGTGAATCTGCAACCTTTACAGCATGGGGCACTGAAAAGCCTTCACCACTCAAGTTAAAACAACCCACAAGAGGAACACTATTTGCCTCCAGCTTCCACTGCATGAGGTGATAGGGACCTGGGATCCATCTAAGGTTAGATGGTAAATCAGAAGTATAATGCTTCCCCGGGCCAGCACTCTTCATTTGATGCCTGCTGCCCCAAAACCCCACTGGCTAGTCCTTGTTGCCTCCAGCTCCCCACACCTGCTGCTTCCACTCGGGGCTGATACTCCGGCAGTACTTCCACACCATGTTCTTCATGCACAATTCCCGTAGAAGCTCTGAGGCCTGTGGGAAAGAGAAGTCAAGAGTATTTACCTAGCCTGACTCTCTTCCCTCTGAAGACCTGCAACATATGCCCACCAACAAGTCTTTGTACAAGCAAGGACTCCTCAACTTGATAGTCCTTCTGGTTCTGAGCACTTTCTCTCTAAAAACTCATTCTTCGTAGCCCTGCTCCACTTCCCCTCCCTAATCACCCCTCTGCCAAGTGTTTTGATAGTCCCTAACCCAGCCGGGAGGACTCACTGACCTCGCGTAAGGCAGGTGGGGGAGTTGGCCAGGAAGTGTCCAGGACATTCCGGGGCAGCTGCTGTCTCAGGTTAAGCAAAAATGACGTGCGTACATGATCCAAGAAGAAGGCATTCTCAGGACAACGGGGTGCGTGGCGCAGGATGAAGCCACGGATGAACCTGGGGGTGGCAGGCCAGGCAGGGTTGGGGTAAGAAGCCTGGCACTGGACCCCCCACCATATATCCCTTATCCTGCAGCCCTTCATCATGTCCCCATGCTCACCGCCGGATGGTCTGTGCCGCCCACTTCCTCTTTGCTGCCTTCCTTCGGCCCAGTGTTCCACGCCACCACGACTGGATGCAAATGGCTGTGGGGACCACAGATAGCTGACCTCTTATCTCCTTATCACAGTAGCCCACCCTAACCCAAGACTCTGCCACCCCAAATAACCCTGGGCCCCCAAACCTGATCGCTTCACCCGGAGGAATTTCTGCCGCCAGTGAAAACCCTTCCAAGCTGCTTGGATCTTCGTGGCTATGGTTGGGAAAGAAATTCAACTGGCTGGAGGTCAGGGCAGGGTCACCAAGCCTGGCACTGTCAGAACTCAATGAGTGCATGAATGAGGGAGTGGCTGAATGAGCTACTGTGTGAAAGGACAAATGAGAGTAAATGAAGAAAAGCAAATGAATGTGGGAATATGCCCAGAGTTTGCATCCAGAGACCAGGCTGCAGGCCGGATTGTGGGTATTGGGGCTAGAGCTAGTAAGGAGGTGGGGGAGCTGAATGTAGGTGGGGCAGACTTCCTGGAGAAGGAATGCAAACGTAGGGACTTCTTCCCTGTTCCCCAGAAGGGACTAGAATGGGGCAGGAAGGGTAGATCTCCTTCTCACCAAGGCTCTGCCGACGGACCTCCAGGGCATCCTCTGTGGCAAACAGGGTCTTGGGGAAGCGTATGAAGATCTTGGTCCTGGGAGAGCAGCAATAATCAGCCCCTTGTTGCCACCTCTCATATCTACCCAGCCACCAGGAATGAGGACCACTCACCTGCCCATCTTGTACTCTTCTGGCTTGTAGCCAAGGTGTCTGACCAGCACAGCCACACCATCCTGGGGCCGTCCTGCCCATGTGGGCCATGTCTCTGGGCACAGTGATTTATATCTAGAGATAGGAGAAGCAACATGCACCTAACCACACCCCAGCCAACACTCTTCTCTGAAGGTCCCTACCAGCTTTCCCTGGGCATCTCCTGGGTATTCCTACTGACTTGTTCACAGCTTATAGAGGGTGTGTGTGTGTGTGTGTGTGTGTGTGTGTTAAAGATAAGGAAACAAAGGTATCCTCATCTACCTAAGACCAAGGGTTAGAAAATGGCAGAGAGATGGGGCTGGGGATGTGGCTCAAGCGGTAGCGCGCTCGCCTGGCATACGTGCGGCCCGGGTTGGATCCTCAGCACCACATACAAACAAAGATGTTGTGCCAGCCGAAAACTAAAAAATAAATATTAAAAAAAAAAAAAAAAAGAAAATGGCAGAGATGGGCTGAGTGCAGTGACACATGCCTGTAACTCCAGCTACTTGAGAGGCTGAGGAAGAGAGGATCATAAGTTTGAGGCCAGAGGATCATAAGTTTGGGCAAGTTAGGGAGACCCTGTCTCAAAATAAAACAGGGCTGAAGAAGTATTCAATGTTAGACCACTTGCCTAACATGTGGAACCATGGGTTCAATCTCCCAGGGGGCGGGGGGAGAGGGTTGGGGAGGAGAAAAAAAAAAAGTTGCAGAGATGGAATCATACTGATCAATTCCCCAGGCCTTTAACACAGAATAACCAAACTGCTTTATTCTCTTGAGTTCCCTGTAAACTCTGGCCCCGCCCTTTTCCATCTGTTTTGTGATAGGCTTGTGGATGTGTGCCTCCTGCACCCTCCTCGGTTACTTCAGGAGGACAAGGCCTACAGGAATCCTGGTGTGGTCTCTTCCAAGGATTACACTGGGCCTGCAGTATAAAGTGGTTCTCGGTATGGGTCCCACAGCAGCTCAGAACCTCTGCGTTCTCAACTCTAAAACTGGACTCTGAAGGACTATGCTCCCTCGTGGAGCATCCCAGATCCCTCCCGCCCCTTTCCTTCTTATGAGAGCCCCGCCCACCTCTGCAGGAAAGCCTCGTATTTGCGACGATAGGCGAAGCCAGCTCTGCGCACGCGCAGGTTCTCCATCAGCCCCAGGTACTTCACCTGGTGCCGAATCAGCACCTCATCAAAGCGGCCTGGGGGAAGGGTAAAGGGGTGGTCAGCCGCCGGTCATCCCTGTAGGGGAGGCCCAGACCCCGCAACCCGGTAGGGGCGGAGGGCCTACCGGGCTGTTTGGCATCGTTGGGCTTGATGCAGCGGATGTAGGCAGGCTCCTTAGACTTCAGAATCTCTACCAGCTGCAGGAGACTCATTTTGAATTGGGTGGCCACCTGGCGAGTCCAGGAGAATAGAAAGTTGGTCTGAGTGAAGCTAATGCCGCTCACCTCTGGGTGTACACACCCTACCCCTGCAAAGCTACTGACCCCTGCAGTGGCCCTCCTCTCTGCTTGGGCCTTACTTCTTCCCACTACTCCTCCCTCACAATAAAGGAAGTGGTCCGACTCTGCACACCTCTCTCTCCGACTGGGCTACAGACCTTAGCTTAGGAATCTCTCTCCAGCCTAAAAATCCTGCTCAGGCCCCTGGCAACCTCCATTCTGTATCTCCCTTTTGCAACCACTCTTCCCAGAACTTCAGAGCTACATTCCTAAACAGCAAGTCCTATACCTATGCATTCAACTATTGTCTCTATATGTTGCTCTGCAGGACCTTCAAGGACCTCAGGCCTGTAAAGAAACAGACTCAGACTGCTTAGCAAAAATTTGCAATCTCCTGTGGTTATATTAATAACAGGGGTGAATCAATCACAGTAGTGCATGCCTATAATCCCAGCAAATCAGGAAGCTGAAGCAGGATTATGAGTTTGAGGTTAGGCCAGGTAACTTAGTGAGATCCTGTCCCAAACAAAACAAAACTGGGGATGTGCCTTGGTGTTAGAATACTTGCCTAAAATACACAAGATCCTGGGTTCAATTCTAGAACCAGAAAATAAACAATAGTGGTGTGTGCCTGGAGGTTCTGGGAATACCAATTAGGGACAACTCATTAGTCTGTGGATATAAAGGGAATCCGGAAAGATCTTCTGGAATGAGATTAAAAAGATAAGTAGGAAATGGATGGACAGAAGACAGGCCAGACAGTGGTCCATGTCAGCAAGTCAGGAGGCTAAAGCGGGAAGATCTCAAGTTGAAGGCCAGCCTAGGCAACTTAGTGAGACCCTGCCATAAAATAAAAAATAAAAAGGCATGGTGGTGTGTCTCAGTGGTAGAGTGCCACTGGATTCAATTCTCATTATTTCAAATAAAAAGAAAGAGGTAAAAATGTCAGTCTAGGAAGAGAGATGGCCTTAGCAAAGGGTTGATATATGCAGGGAGCTACAAGCATACAAGAATCCAAGTGAGGTTACAGAGGCAAGCAGTGGTAGTATCATCAGTAAGTCACACTGAACACATTGGATTTTATCCTGAGGAAAACTAAGGAGCCAATGAGAAATTTGGAGAGAGGGAGTGACATAAAAAGATATTCATTTTGGAATATCTCTACAGATGTGTGGAAGATGGATTGGTTAGCCAGGAAATCAGGAAGGAGGCTGGCTGGCATAGAGAAGAGAGAATGATCATTAATGTGGATCAGTGGTTATATGGAAGGGATGGAGAGGAGGGAGTTGAGAAGTAATCCGGCAATAAACAAGATCCAGTGGTTGGAATGGGGGAGATGGCTAGATCCCCAGCCTGCAGGACTAGGTAGAGGGTGATGCCTGTCTTGAATTAGGGACACAGAATGAGCAAGGCTAGGGGTCTGAGTAACCAAGGGCCCACTTGTGTGTGTTGTGGGGAATCACCGGATGTATGAATTTGTGGTTTTCCGGGGCAGAAGTGGGTAGGCAAGCAACCTAAGTGGGAGACATTGGGGTCAGGAGGGTGAGGGTACACAGGGTAAGGGAGGGTGAACAGCAGCAGGGAGCAGGCAGGGTCCCAGGAGGGCAACACAATGCCTTGGTGCTCTGCCTGGCAAGCATGTCTCTGCCTTCAGCACTCTGGCTTCTACTTCCCTCCTGATCTCTTTACTGACAGGGGCTACCTGACTCCTCTGCAAGCTCAACAGTCATGTCTCTGCCCTTAGCTCCACAGAGCTCTTCTTGCATCAAGCACCACTGGCCACACCTGCCATCCAGCCCTTCCCCTGTGACGTTCCTTTCCTGCTGACCTCCTTTTTTGGCCTATGTGTGTCTGTGTTGGACCCTCTTGCTGCCTACAGTGCCCCCTCCCACTACAGGTCCATCAGACTGAAAAGCACTTCCTCATTCTGACGTTATCTCAAATACTTCCACTTCCAGGGGCCCTCCCTGACCTCCCACCCACCTCACCTCTAGAGTTGGCCATCCCCTCTCTTCTTCTGTGCATATTTCTGTAAGAACGCCTATTTTTTCTTTTTTGCTTGTCTGTGTGTTCCTGGGGATGGAACCCAGAGCCCCCTACGTGCTAGGCAAGCACTTTACTACTGAATTACATGTCCAGCTGCACATTTTTGTATCCTCAGTGCTTAGCAATGTCTGTTACAAAGTGTCTGATAGGTGAGCACTCACAAGCACCCACATGGAAAGGTGTACACACATGGATTCTTCCACAATAACAGGCATACACAAACAGGTCCACACCTAAGAGACAGGTGGACACTCAGGCATACATTTGTAAGTAGGCAAAGATGCTCCAAAGGGCAGCTTCCTAGAGACACACACAGATGTGCACATGGGCACCAACAAACATGCTCACATGCACAATGCCAACTCCAGGCCCCAAGTGGGCACTCATCCATGCTCAGGTACACACACGCTCCCTCAGGTCCCACAGCCTCCGCACCGTCTCTGGCCGCTTTTTATCACTGAGTTCACTCCGGTCGAAGCACTGGCTCATAATGGGATTCTTTGAGCTGCACATGGTCTGTGGGGTCAGAACAGGGGGTTAAGGTGGGAGCAGAGGCAGACACAACAGATTCCTGGGCACAGGGGCATACAGAGCTGCCCCCCACCCTGTCACCCCCATGTCCTCCTCACCTCTTTCAGGTTCCGGAAGAGAAGGTCGTTGTTTTTATCCAGAAACCCTGGAAGGAGATGGTAGATGAGGGGTGAGGGAGTGTCCCTCCCAGTCCCCAGGGGTATCCAGCTTCAAGATCCTCACCAGTCACGCTGTAGGTCACCTCCCCAGCATAGTGCAAAAGGCGGAACTCCCCACGGCCCAGGGATTTCCTGGTCCGCTGGTCAGCCAGCTTGTGCCTGGGGGTGACAAGGACATGAAGCTACAAATTGCTGACCCAAGCCATGCCCCTGCATGCTGAAGAGACCTTGAGAGTAGGAACCAGCACCCAGGAGGGAGCAGGTGTGCCCCGAGACTGCCCCCACAACCCACAAGTCATGTGGCAGACATGCAGGGGGTACACCCTGTGTACCCTCATCCTCCTGACCCCATTGTCTCCCACATCAACCCCCCTGCATGATCTCTGAGGTTCAGGAAGGTGGCCTGCCTTGCCCAGGGTCACACAGTGCCAGGACCTAGGCCTCTGGACTACCAGGCACACAGGGCAGAGAGCTAATTTCATTGCTTCCAGCTGCTGCTTTACTATGCCCAAAGTGAACTGCCCACTATATTTTCAGAATGGAATTTGCCAAGATATTACTTACACTTTAAGTATGTTTATATCCTTTAACCTATTTTCTGCTTTTAAGAACTGTTTCAGGGCTGATTTTGGCTCAGTGGCAAAGCACTTGCCTAGTATTCATGAGGCCCTGGGTTCCAGCTCTGGGGAACCCAGGGCCTCATGAATACTCCCTCACCCCTCATCTACCATCTCCTTCCAGGGTTTCTGGATAAAAACAACGACCTTCTCTTCCGGAACCTGAAAAAAAACTATTCCAAGCAGATTAACCAGAGATACAGGCAAAGATTTAAGGTACAAAGATGTCTGTGACAGCCCTTAGTTATTCCAGCAAAAACCTGGAGGCTGGCCAGGGGCTCCCAAAGGCCAAGTAAAAACCACAGGGTATTCATGGGTTAGAACCATTGGAGGAAGCATTTTGAAAAAAATTTTCTGTTTGATGATATAGGAGAACACTGAGGCTCTAACATTATCCTGAGCCTTATGCACAATAAGTTCTTGACTATGAAAAAAAATGTATAGAAAAAAGCAGGAAGGAAATGCCTTGAATTGTTAACAATGATGGCCTCTGGATGACAGGGTTACAAGAGACTTTTGCACATATTCCAGCTTTTTTTTTTTTAATGAGCAATATTATTTTTACAATCAGAAGCAAGCTTTTTTTTATTGTTTGTTTTTTTTTTTTAGCTTCTATTTTTTTCTTAGCACCAGGGATGAAACCCAGGGCAGCTCTACCACTGAGGGACACCTCCAGCCCTTTTTATCTCCCTCTCTCTCTCTCTCTCTCTCTCACACACACACACACACACACACACACACATATATATATATGTATATTTTTTTTTTTCTGGTTGTAGATGGACACGATATATTTATTTATTTATTTTTATGTGGTGCTGAGAATCGAATCCAGTGCCTCATACATGCAAGGTATGCTCTTACATTGAACTACAGCCCCAGTTCTTTTAAAATTTGTAACTATTTATTTACTTATGGCACTAGGGATTGAATCCAGGGCACTTTACCACCAAGCTATATCCCATAACTTTTTTTTTTTTTGGTACTAGGGATTGAACCCAGGGGAACTTTACCACTAAGTTATATCCCCAGCCCTTTTTATTTTTAAAATTTGAGACAGGGTCTTGCTAAGTTGTTTAGGACCTAGCTATAATGCTGAGGCTGGTCTTGAATGCGTGATCCTGCTGCTTCAGCCTCCCAAGCCACTGGGATTATAGGTATGTACCACCACACTCAGCAACACCCTGTCTTTTTTATTTTGGGGCAGGGTCTCACTAAATTGCTTATGGCCTCACTAAGTTGCTGAGGCTGACCTTGAATTTGAGATCCTCCTGTCTCAGCCTTCTGAGTTGCTAGGATTACAGGCATGCACCACAGCACCCAGTCCCCTTTGTTACTTCTTGAAATAGGGACCCACTAAATTGCCCAGGTAGATCTCAAACTTCAGATCCTCCCAAGGATCAGAAGTTGGGATTATAGTCATGTACCACTGTGCCTAGCAGAAGAAAGTGTTTTAATGTTATTAAGCAAATAATAGTCAAAGCTTTGGCATTCAATAGCCCCAGGACTAAGTCTCAGCTCTGCAAGCTAGCTGTGAGATAACCTTGGGCACTTCACTCTGAGTCTCGCTATAAAATAGGGAAAACACCAAGAATGTCTCCTTGAAAGATCATTTATAGGTTAAGAGATGATGTGCACAAAGTACATAGGACAAATTGAGACAAAGATGCTTGCTTCTGTTTCTATCCCTTCTTGCTTTTATTTTATTTTTTTTTTAAAGATAGAGTGAGGGGGGGAGAGAGAGAGAGAGAATTTTTAATATTTATTTTTTAGTTTTCGGTGGACACAACATCTTTGTTTTGTATGTGGTGCTGAGGATCGAACCCGGGCCGCACGCATGCCAGGAGAGCGCGCTACCGCTTGAGCCACATCCCCAGCCCCCCCTTCTTGCTTTTAAATAAAAAGCAAGTCTCAGTAGGGCTTGATGCTGCACACCTGTAATCCCAGTAGCTCAGGAGGCTGAGGCAGAAGGCCTGTGAGTTAAAAACCAGCCTCAGCAACTAAGCAAGACTGACTCTAAATAAAATATAAAAAGGGCTGAGAATGTGGCTCAGTGGTTAAGCACCCCTGAGCTCAATCCCTGGTACAAAAAAAAAAAAGTCCCAAATAAGGAAGCTAAACAACAACCAAAAAAAACTTAGCAAGTTTCATTCTCTTAAAAAAAAAAAAAGGAGGAAGCCATGCTCTAGAAATGGTGGCTTTGTGCAACTTTCCCTAACTTAGTACTTTCCCTGTGGCTGGTGAGGTTGTATGTGGGAGGGAGTGTGGGGCGGCGCAGCAGGCGGTGGGATGAAACCCAGGTTCTGGTAGGCATGTGCTCTACCTTTTGAACTATGCCCCCAGTCCTATAGCAGAAGTTAATCACTATGAACCCAGCCTTCCACAGGATTTGCCCCAAGTGGGCCCTTGCCCCAGAAACCCTGCCACCCTACTCACGTGAGGAAGTGTGGATGGTGCTTGACAGTGTCCTCTAGCTTCTCCAGGAAGGTCAGGTCTGTGGCCTCCCCAGGGCGCAAACACTCCTCATCCTAGAGGAGGGAACAGTGTGAGGGAGGTACTAGGGGAGAGGCTGGAAAGCACAGAAGCTTCTAGGTACTGTGAGGAGAAACAAAGATGCAGGGGAAGGAGCAGAGCATAGGGAGCCCCCACAGGGAGCTTCCAGACCAGGCTAACATCCATCCATCTCACACTGCCCAGCCCCACACCCTGGCCCTCTGTGGACCAGCCCGGAGAGAAAGGAAAAGGGGAAGATGTTCTCCCATCTGGCCCATAACATGAGCAGAGGACTCACCAAGATGGAGATGATGCCCTTGAACTTCTCCTCTACCAGGTCACAGATAATCTTATTGTTGAAGTACTGAACAGGCTCCCACTGCAGGGAAAGGGAAGGCAGACATCATCGTGGGGTCCCACACCTTCTCCCAGAGTCCCAGTGCCTGACTTCCTGTGGCACAGGGACACTTCAGGCTCACACGCACCGCGATTCCCTCGGCCTCGTACTCTTCCTGTTCTGACTTGAGTGTCAGTTCAATGAAGAGCTGCTGCAGCTTCTCGTTACAGTAGTTGATGCAGAACTGCTCAAAACTGTGGGGAAATAGAAGAACCCATAGTCGCATCAGAGGACACAGGGCCAGGGCCAGGGGGAGGAGAGGATAAGGCCCCTGAGCAGTCAGGTAAGAGATGCAGAGCCAGACCCAGGCTGGCTGGGGATCATTTGAATGACAGGCAGGGGGACAGAGGAGAGGGACCAGGACAGTAAGACTAAGTGGCTGGCAAGGGGTAAGGGCAATGCTGACCTGTTATGCTGAAACACCTCAAAGCCATAAATGTCCAGGAGCCCAAGAACCGTGGTACTCCGCCAGCTGGGGCTCTCAGCATCCTAGGGCCAGTCATTCAACCAAGAGCATGGGTCTTGGTGTCTGCCACCCCAGCTCCCAGCTCTAGCCCTCCCTGACAAGCCTCCCTGACTGCCTCGGAAGCAGCGTGGACCAGGTCCTCACCTTGGAGGCCAGTGACCTGTTGATCTTCCCAACCAACCAGGTGAAAGTGCGACTATACACAGCCTTGGCAAGAGCATCCCGTGCGTATGCAGCCTGCTCCAGGTTCAGGGGGCTCAGGAGCTGCAGCAAAGAGTGAGACTAGGATGAGTGCCTTCCATTCCACCTCCCCTTTGGACTCAGAAAGAAGACCAGGAAGTCCTGACCAGCCTGTCCTTCCGCCTCCAGTCAGCCTGGGAGTGGAAAGTGGTGGTGATATTGGGACATCAGCGGGGGACAAAGTAGCCACACCAGAGGGAAGGTGGTATAGGAAGAAGTGATCATTCCTGGAGATGGGAATCTTGATCTAAGCCTGACTTTGTCACCCTCTTCTTGTGTGACTTTGGCCAGCTCACTGTGCCTCTCTGAGCCACCCATCTTATATCCCTCCAGCACTGCTGAGAAGACCACTGAACAGAACAGGAGGAGGGAGAACGATGGAAATGGGAGCTACCCTAGAGTACCTGCACCTCCCCGCCAGTGACAAAGGCTTGGCTCACCTCTTCTCCCTTGGCGATGATCTTCCTATGCGTCAAGGCTTCCCGCAGTGTTGAGCCTTCCACACCAAGGAGCTGTCAAGGGACAGTGGGCACAGTGAAGGTGCAATCACCCTGCCCCTCCTGCTCTCTCTTGCCCTCCACCCACCACACATACCCTGGTTATGTACTTGAGCTGGTTCTCAGTGGTGACCTGGGCATTACTCTCCTCATCAGCAGCAAAGTGGATGTTGCCTAAGTGCAGGACACTAGCCACAATGCTCAGCAGGTCCTGGGGGAGCAGAAAGGTGGCAGGTGGTGATTATAGAGGGGGAAGGGAACCCCATGATGGGGACTAGAGATGGTCAGATGGAACAGGGGATATATGACAAAGCGTCTGGGAAGAGGAGGGGATTAGAGGCAGAAATTGGCTTTAAAAATATAAGTTGATTTTGGGGGGATTGTAGAAGGAAAGAGAGAGGGTCACCAGAGGAGCCCTTACCTCCACTTCGTCCTCAGTGAAGTCGATGACTGTCAGCGCCTTCCTGACAACCTTCCAGTCACTCTTGTCATTGATGGAAGAAACTTTGGCGCACTGGCCCTGAAGAAAGGGCAAAGCTGAGTTGTCAAGCCCTGGCACTGTGTCCCCTGGGTGGCACCTGTCTTGCCAGCCTGCCAGCCACTCACCTTTACCAGGTACAGATAGTTCTGGGGGTTTCGTTCCAAGCCCAGTCTGCGCAATGTCTCCTCCTCACCTCCCTCCAGCAGCTGGTAGAAAACATGGAAGTTCCGCTCCCCATGATTCTGGTGTACCACTCGGGACTTCTCCAGGAGGTAACTGAGGATATGGCCACCTATGGGGGCACCCTGTGGACAGGGCATGGCAAGGGGATAGGTTAGGGGGACTGAGGAATAGAGCTTATCTTTCCCTTGCTCCCCTGCAGACCTGGGCTCTAATTATAGCTCTGCCACTAGCTGTCTGGGCTCAGGCACATCACCCTCTCTGGCCTCAGTTTCTTCATCTAAGAAATGGGCAGGTTCAACTCCATGTATTTGATAGCTTCATTTGGGTACCTGACAGATATCTTAAGTTCAACAGGCTTGACATTGAACTCCTGATCTCCCCACTCCTCAAATTAGCTCTTCTTTTGTCTCCCCATCTTAGTCAAGAGTAACTATATCCTTCTAGTTGTCCAGGCCAAGAAGCTTGTGGTCCTCTTGGATGCCTCTTTTTTTATCATTTCCTCGATTCAATCATATTCAGTCCTGCTGCCTTAACCTTTAAAATACCCAGAATCCAACCACTGCTTACCACCTCCACTGCTACCACACTGGTCTGAGCCACTGTCATCTGTCACCTCCATTATTACATCAGCCTCCTAACCGGTTTGCCTGCTTGGCATAGTTCCCTTACCAACAAAGCAGCCAGAGTGACCTTTTCAGTAAGAAAGTTGGATCACAACGTGCTTCTGTTCAAAACCCTCTGATAAAACCCCCTTCCACTCAGAGTTCAAGAAGTTCTCATAGGGCTGGAGGTAGTTCAGTGGTAGAGCACGTGCTTAGCCCACATGAGGCCCTGGGTTCAATCCCCAGCACCTCCCACCCCGCCACAAAAATCCAAAAAGGACTGTACCATATGGCCTTTCCTCCTATTCCTTGGCCTCTTGCTCTCTTCTCTGGCCACAGGTCTGACCTCCTTGCTAACCTGGAGCACACCAAGCATCCTCCCACTGCACGGGCTGTTCTGGCTGCCTGCACACTCTCCTCCAGGTAGCTGCCCCGCTTGTTCCCATCTCTGTTGAGCATTTACTAAACCACGACTTCTCAGAAAGGCCTATTCTATCTGCCTTATTTAAAATTACAACTGCTCCTCACCCTTAACCTCATTTCTGCCATGTCCTAAATTATTATTTTTCTGTTTATTGCCTATTACCCCAGGAGGCAGGATTTATGTCTGATTTCATTGCTATGCCAGCAGTACCTGGAATAGTGCCTGGCACACAGTAGGTGCTCAACAAATATTGAGCCTACTGATTGGAAAATCCTGCCCTCTCTTGTGATACACCAACAGATACCTTAAAGTCAAACTGCACATCCATGTACTTCCCAAATCGGCTGGAGTTATCATTCCGAAGGGTCTTGGCATTTCCAAAGGCCTAGGAGTGGATGGTGGAATTAGAAGCACCTAGCATTCGCTCCCTTCCCTCCCTCCCTTCAGATGCTGCTGTCCACTCACTTCCAGCACTGGGTTGCTCTGCAGCAATCGGTCTCGCACAGCACCCCCTCGCTCAGGGGCTGGGCAGGTCTCTGCATAGAACTGTAGTAGCCGCTTGGTGGCCTCTGTCTTGCCTGCCCCACTCTCCCCAGAGATCATCACCGCCTGGTCCCGGCGTTCCGTGCGCAGTGCCCGGTACACAGTGTCAGCCACTGCAAACCTGGAGCAGAGACTCATCAGAGAATTCAGGGAGTAGAAGATTAAGTGGCTGCAGGTGAAGCCCCACGGACAGGTAGGAGATGCAAGAGTACTCCCATATTGATTTGGAGTTTACTTGTGGATAGAATTAGGGGATACTCTTGAGGTTGGGAGTTGGGGGTCCCTCAAGGGTATGTACCAAGGGAGATACTTCATAGTAGAGGATGGGGCCACTTTCAGGTGGATGTTGGAGACCTCATAGGCAGGGCTAGGAGGTCCTCATGAATGGGGATCAGAGGTCATTAGGGTTGACAGGCCATGTCCAGGTAGAGTTGGAAGAATAAGTCAAAAGTGTGAGCTGGGCTTGGATTTAGGGGTCCTACTCATTTGGAGCTCAGAGATTCATCTCTGGGTGAGGACTGGAGTAACTCTAGGGTAAGCAATTGTGGGGTTCCTCGCAGATGTGAACAGTGATTCACCCAAGGGGAATCATTTCAGAGTGAGGGTTAAGTGGAGTTGTTTTACATGAGGATGGCAGGGGAAGTGGAGGTCACTGCTGAAGGGTAAGGAGTCACTTACAGGTGGGGTGGCACTTCATAGAAACTGACGCCACGGTAACGCTCCATATGCTGCCGGCTATAAATCTGTAGGTCTCGGTAGGGGTTGACAGACACCAGGACGGGGCCAATATAGGTCTAGGGGTTGGGGAGGAGAGTCAGAAGTTTGTCTTAGAGGCCCCTGATACCTTCTTCCCCCCTCAGCCCTGCCTCTGTGCCCCCAGCATCACCCCCCACCTCCCATCTTCCCACTTGGCCTCACGTAAATAAGGTTCTCCCGGAAGCGCCGCCGCAAGTTCTCAATGAAGGCAGCCTCGCTGGTGAAGTTTTCCAGCAGCACAAAATCTTGCACCCCCACCCGGTCACGGGCAGTCAGGGCACTCTCCATGGTTACCCGCACCCCGTCACTGCCCAGGGCCTGCAGGGAATGAGCCATGGGAGAGGGTCAGAGCCAGCAGTTAAGGCTACTCTCCTACCATACCTGTGAGCCTAAGGGGAGGGTAGGGGCATGTGGACATAGAATACAGAACATGCTGGGTATCGAGGGCCCAGGTAACAGGAGTCCAGGACACAAAAGATATGGGACCACATGGAACCAGGGCCTAGCACACAGGAGTACCCAGGGCCCAGCGGACATGGAAACAAGACCACGGATTTCAGGAAGGCACTGGTTTTGTGTGGAGAGGTGGGTCCTGAGAAAGAACTGCTTGGAAAGAATGCTATGTTGACCTTGGACAAATACCCTCCTCTCTAAGGGTTGCTTCCTTCTCAGGGAGGAGTTGAGTTAGACCAGGTGACCTCAGGTCCCTGAGCTCAGGGCCACGTGTGACAGGTGCTTTGGAGGACAAATTCTCAGAGTGAATTCTGCAGTCAGGGTGGGGCCACTTCTCCTGCTCCCACTCCTGAAAGCTCCAGGAGTTAAGGGTTGCTTAGGGACTAAGCAAGAGCTCCTCCTCCAAGGAGAGGGATTTCCCCAGGGGCCTCCAGCCCAAGTGGGACTTAACATCCACCCCTGAAGGGCTGGGCTTTCCCTCCCATAGCTGGGACCACTCCCTCCCCTCCAGCTGCTGGGCTCCTCAGAAACCTCCTCCTCTGAGAGTCCTAAAAAGCCTCAGGAGGCCCGGGTTTTACCAGGGAAAGCCCAGCTGCCACTGTTGGGCAGGGATGGGGCAGGCTTAGCAAGACCCGCATCCCATACCCTCTCTTCTTCAAAGAGAGTCTGGGGTCTCTCAGAAATTGACACCAAGAGTGCCAAGGGTCAGAAAAGGGTAAGGTGGTGGTGGGGTGGGTGTAGATCCCAGAGAGATCGGCAGATCTGTTCTAACCACAGATGGCCCAGATCTCCAGTTAGGGGCACCCCTCCTCTGGGGCCTGGCACTCCCAGACTTATCCCTCACTGCTGCACTCGGATCCCGCCCGAAGTTGCAGCCAAATAAGGCTACAGTCCCCGCCCCTTTGCCCTAGGGCGAGGGGTCTAAGTGTTCTCAGCTGTCCCAAGGAACTATTCGCCTGGCCCTGGGTCCGAGCGTCCCGCGACCCTCCCCGCCTCGGCCTCCTCTCCCAGCAACTTTCTGGGACGTTTTACCACCCGAAATTCCTGGGCCGCGCCCGCTTCCTGGCAGGGCCGAGGCGGCACCGCTAGGCGGGAGGCCCGGGACCCCCGCCCTGCCCTCCACCCCAGCTCACCGACGCCCGGTAGCGCATCCTGCTTGACCGGCCCTGCGCCCCGCTCCTCTGCCTGCGCTCTGGTTCAGGGGCTCGGCCGCGGAGGTGGCGGCGGCGGCCGCGGCGTCAGGGAGGGAGGGAGGGACAGGCCCGCCCCCCGCGCCGCCCCCTCGCTGGCCTCTGAAGCGCGGGACCAGGACCTTGCCGGCCTCCCTCGGAGCCCGGACTCCGGGGTCCCTCTCCAGCGGGCGGGGGCGGGGTAGGGGCTAAAGGGGACCTCGGAACTGGAGAGGAGGTGGGCGGGGGCGGGCGCGAGAGGGGGCGGGGCTCCCCCCGGGGCCGGTGCTCCGCCTGAGTCAGGTTTTCCAGGAGGGACGTCGTTGGTTCCAGGGTGGGGCCCGGAACCCGCGCGGCCGCCGCGTCTACACGGACCCGGAACTCACTTCCGGGCTCGTGTCTACACTACGCGGCCTGGCCAGGCGCGGGACGAGGGCCGAGGCCCGTGGGTCCCAGAGGAAACAGGATTTCTCTCCCCCCAATACCAACCTCGAGTCCCGGGAAAGTTAAAAATAGAACGAAATGTCCAAATACGGCCGGCGCGCCTGGGCGGGCGGAGCCTGGGTGTGGGACCTTGTCCACCCCCATACACACTCTGGAAGGCGGGCCGCGAGTCTTTAAGCCCAGGGAAAATTTCTTTAGGTCCTTTCGTCAGCGTGGATCGCACAACCCAGAGACAGGGACAGCCACAGGGTGCCCCCTTTCTTTGAGCAGTGTCCTTGGCCCTTCTGGAGGCCTCAGTTTCCCTACTGGGAAGCCCGCGTCTGACCTGACATTTGAATCCAATACCCTTCTGCAACCTGGACATCCCACTCAGGCCTCTTTGCCCCAGGGATTCCTCTCTTTCTCCCTCTAGAAGGGACCTTTCTGTCTTGTCCTACAGGATCTCTGCATTCCCTCTTCCAGGACGTCCCTTTTCTCCCCAAATCAGCCCCCAGCATCTGCACCCTCTCTAGAGGCATCAGCCCTCCTTTGGCTTGGTGGTGGTGGGGGACTCTGGCTCAGATTCCATCAGTGGTGGAGATGGTGATGGCTAGAGCTTTCAAAGGTCGTGGCTGATTTTTTTGTTTTTCCCCCCAGTGCTAGGGATGGAACTCAGGGCCACGGTAGACAAGGGATCTAACACTGAGCTACATTTCCATCCCCTCGGAATCTGTTCTTCATCCTTAAAATGAGGTTAACACCTGCCAGAAGTGTTGTTGGAATAGGCTGTGATAAAACGCTGAGGCATTTCCCAGGCACTCAACACCGTTACCCTCTTCCCCTTCCTTCTCTCTACCACAGTCATTTCACACATGCTTGGAGACAGAGCGTCATACTTATTATTTTGTGGGGAAAGCCCCTTAGGCGTGTCTGTCACAAAGAACTCCCAAGTACTTTACCCGTCCCTAGCCTGCCAAGGAATCTGAGGCGCACGCAGCAGACACTGACATGTCCTAGGGGGGAAAGGCGGAGCCGGGACCCAAAGTCCCTGCACTCCCCACAGTCTGACCTGGGCTCCCTGGAGAGGAGTTAAGGCTGCGGCAGGTGTGGGCTGCAGCCTCAAGGGGAAGGCTCATTACCTCGAAAACAACAGCCTGGCCAAAGCTAAGGCCGGGGGGCGGGGGGGGGGCCGCGAGGGGGCACCAGCTGGGAGATGGGGCCCTCTGGAGGGGGCAAGAGGACTGGGTGCCGCCGGCCACAGCTGGGAGATGGATGAGAGGAAGGTTCAGGGCGGGAGGTGGCGCTCTCCACGGTTCCCCCAGGTCTACAATCCAGAAAGGAGCCGGGAGACAATCTAGCTTGAAGCCCACCCAGGCGGGCGAGTGCCTCACAAGAGCCAGCGGGAGAGGGTCTGGAGAGCCCCTAAGTGGGCTCTGACTAGGGCGAAGAGGGGGGCCGAGTGAGGAGGGGCCGGGTGAGGAGGGGCTGAGTGAGGCGGAGCTTCGCGGCCGCAGTGCCAGCCCCGCCCCACCGCGTCAAGAGGCTGGAATGAGGAGAATCCTCGAGCGGAGGGGTCCAGCGGGCTTTCCCCCATTGCAGGCAGCGCCGCCGCATTCTCTGGATGCCCGCTCCCGCCCCTGCAGCCACCGCCCGGCTGCGGAAGGAGGGGGCGTCGCCGCCGCCCTGCGGGCCCGAAGCGAGCCACAGCCCTGGCAACCCCCACGGGCCTGCTCCGCCTCTCTGGGCAGAAGCGTGAGTCCAGAGGAAGGGTAGGGAAGTGAAGAAGCTAGGGTGTGGGAGATGCCGCGACTAAGGCGACAGAGCCAGGCTCTTTCTGCGTCCTTAGCACGTTCTTATTTACCCACTTCATGAGGTCTATATTATTTCATTTTGGGGGAAACTGAGGCTGGGTAAGTGAAGTGACTTGTTCAATGTCTCTAGACTTGTAAAGGAGCAGGATTGGAACCTGGGAACCCGAACACTCTACTTCTGAAGGGCTGCCCTAATGCCCACATTGTTTACAGGGATACCCTGCCAGGTTGTGACTTTCCTCAGGTGTCCTTGTCAGTGTCATGTGACTTTATTGATGTGTAGACCATAGGGGTGGCAGCTATGGCCCCCAAAGCATGGCTCTGGGCCTATGGGCTGGCAGCAGGCTGGGGTGCATCTGTGGTCTGAGTGTCCCAGGATTTATTTTTCAAAGGCATCTCTGGATCTCCTCCCTCCTGGGGAGGTGTTTGTCATCACAGGGGATAGAGCCAACAGGAGACCTAGGTCAACAAATACACTTTAGCTAGTGTAGGCCAGGTACTTCCAAACCTGACCTCGGTGGAAATGGGGGAGAGTGGGCAGCTGCAAATGTTCCCCCTGTCCACTCGGGGCTGCCTTGAGGAGCCCCAAACTTATATCCATTGAGGCAGCCTTATGGCCTCTTGGGGTAGTGGAAAGACAACTACAGCCTGTCTCACTAGCAGCTTGGTGCTGGGCACAGAGAAGGCACTAAATTTAGATATATAAATATAAATAAATTTAGGGCTGGGGATGTGGCTCAAGCGGTAGCGCGCTCGCCTGGCATGCGTTTAGCCCTGGTTCGATCTTCAACACCATATACAAACAAAGATGTTGTGTCCCCCGAAAACTAAAAGATAAATATTAACTCTCTCTCTTAAAAAAAAAAAAAAAGAATCCCTGCCACTGTGAATTCTGTCTCTGCAACTGTGAGATTGTAATTTAAAATATATATATATGGGCTGGGGATGTGTCTCAAGCAGTAGCGCCCTCGCCTGGCATGCATGCGGTCCGGGTTCGATCCTCAGCACCACGTACAAACAAAGATGTTGTGTCCGCCGAAAACTAAAAAAATAAATATCAAAAAATTCTCTCTTAAAAAAAATTTAAAATATATATATATAAATATAAATCTTCAATCTAGGCCTAGGCTGCTCCTCCAAGGACTGTTCCAGGCTTCAGGAAACTGTTGTGAGGGGAAATAAGAAGAAGATAGGGACATTAGGGATCTACTCTGATTGCTCCAAGGACAATGTAGCTCCAGAACCAGGTATTTGTCCTGCCAGATATCTCTGCCTGGGGGTCCAGCCAAAGTAAACAGAGCACCTTGCCCCTAACAGAGTGCTGATCATCAGGACCTGGTATTAGACCCTTGGTCTCCTCTCTCACTCTTCCTTGCATTAGTTACATTCTGCTGAAACCTCATTCTGCTCCTCTATGACTGCTTCTGTTCTGGACCAAGATAGCAGCTTCTTAACTGATCTCCCTGCCTTCCTCTCACCAATCCACTTTCTCATAGTAGCCTGTGCTATTTACAAATGCACATCTGACAATTAACATCTCATATTAATGGAGTGAAGGTTTATAGGGCACCCCACCACGAGCCAAGCCTGTTCTTCACACCAACTTCAAGTCCCAGCATATGAATTTCTGAGGTCACCACTGTCCTTAGTTTACCCTACTGTTCCTGCATTCCTGTGTGACTGCAGTCCCTTCCCTCTCTGCCTCCCCTACCACTTCACACAGCCAGGAGGAGCTGCTGTTGCCCTGCCAGCCATCAGCCACACGTGGCTTTCTAAGCTGTGCCTTTGCACCTGCAGCTTCCTTGGCCCAGTACACTCTGCCTCACCACCTCACTGACTCTTAGTCATCCTTGAAGACAGCTCAGGTATCACCTCCAGAACCCCTTCCTGACTTCCCCCAACACAGCCCTCTCCTTATTGCATTCAGCACTAATCGTCTGTTTCCTTTTCCAGTCTCTTCCAGGAGACTGCTCCAGTTCTAGACACACTCAGCCAGGCACCCAATTGGGATTCAATAAGCCCCTCGTGGGCGCCCGAATGAATGAATGAATCTCAGAACCCAGCAGTGTGAGTGAGGGGTCCAAGCGTTCGGAGTTGAATAAAGCCACGGGTCACCCATTCACTCTTTCATTCATCTTTTAAGCCCCCCACTCGCCACACTCACCAGCCGGCACAAACGGTCGCGGGCGCTGCTAGCCCAGAGGAGGCGGTGGACGGGAAGGGGCGGGGCTGGGGTGACTTCTCCGGAACCCAGAGGCAGAGAAGGCTACGGGAGAGGCCCGAAGGGCGCCCTAGGTGCCCGGGTCCCGCGACCAAAGTCGCTCTTCCCCGCCTTCACACTATCCGCAAGTAATTTTAAGTCCACACCAAGCTGAGTCCCGGCGCCTCCGGACCCTGGGACCAGCAAGTGCCAGGCCGAGCGGATCTTAAGTCTCAACCCGGCCAGAGACCCCCGCCTCCCTCATCGCATCTGTGGGCCAGCGCCCGCACATTCCCCCAACTCACTAGCTAGCGGAGACCTTCCGGGGCCACCCACGCGGCCGCTACCCGCCCCATGCCTTGTCCATCGTACCTACCTACCGGCTCGGCTCTTCGGGTGTACTGGCGGGGGCCGGGGCACCCGGCTTGGCCGCCTCGGGAGTCCGTGGCCCGGGCACGTTCTCCCCGCCCAGGGCCCTCCAGGGGCCGGGCCGCCGCCTGTCGTCATCTCGGGCAGGGCCCAGACCCAGGCGCGCGCACGAGCGCGCGCCCTCGGGCCCCGCCCCACCCTAGCTGGCCCTGGCCTAAGTAAGCTGGCCCTAGCCCGCATCCACTGAGGCTTGGTGCCGCACTCCTCAAACAAGCTCGCAGGATGAGGCGCGTCTCAGTCACAAGCGCACACGCTCACACCCTACTCGGGCAGAAGATCCCGCTCCATCTGCAGTGCTGGGTGGCAGGGTGCGTCCGCCCTTTCTCATGCTAAAGGCCCTTTACATCCCAAGAGCAAACCAGACGCTCCTTTGCGTGCTTGGCTAGGGCAGTACTTCCCCCATTTCTAACTACCTCTTCTGCCTTCACCCATTTCCCCTTCCATCCTATTTGCCTTGAATCCCGCAGTCCCAGTTCCGCGGTCCGGGCGGGAAAGGGGAGGCATTAATCCTACTACGCACCAGTTTACTTGCACTACTCCTTTGACCTCAGGGTAGCACCCTCAGCTGCTTGTTATGCCCAGTTCATAGTCCAGCCTACTGAGGTACAGGGAACTGGAAGAAGTATGCAAACTCAGATCTCTGCTTTGAAAAATCCTGCTTCTGGTGGCCCCTAATACTTTATCCCCTGCTTTCACTCACTCCTTTTCCAGTTTCTTAACCACCAAGGATCAGAACCCATCCTTACTGGTCATGTCTTTCCTTGGGGCGTGCTTAAGAGAACTAGCCCGGCCCAGGGGAGCCACTGCCACCCTTCCTCCCAGCCCAGAGCATCCCAATCTTACAAGCTTGCATGGTCTGTGGGGATGAACCACGCGGATGATCTCCCCCGTGGGTATCAGCTCCACTTGCAGTGCCATTCTGCTTTGTGGAAAGCCAGTGTGCTGATCGCTGAGCCGGGGCTGAGAAGATAGGCCTGCTTGCCTACTGGTGCTGGCCGATCCGAGGCCAGGAATCTACACTCTCACGCTGGGATGACCACTTGGTTCTGCTTCAACTCCAGCCCCAAGGGATATGGCTGGTCCAGCTCCTCAGGACACAGCTGGAGCAGTCCAGTCCAGGTCTGATTGAGAGGCCTGTTGGCCAGGAAGGTTGGGGCAGGAAGAGGAGGGGCTGAACCATGGAGGAAATGCCTGTTGTCCCAGGTAACCAGAGGAGCTGATGCAGTCACCCATGGGGGACCCTGAGCCTGTCCGGGTCAAAGGGTGGGAGGCCTTTCCCCTTTCTCCCAGCAGCTCCTTGGCTGGACTTCTCCCATTACCCACTCTATGGTATTAGCTGGAAAGCCCAGTGACCACTCCCCCCAACTAGGAGCTATTTCACCTAAGCCAAGAGGATTGCTTGATCCCTTAGTAGGCACTGCCCCTCCTGCATGTCCCTACAACTTGGCTTTCTCTTGAGAGCAACAGATAAGCCACTTTTGTTTTTCAGATGGGGTCTTGCTCTGTTAGCCTAGGCTGCACAAGCTTGACTGCTTCCCTGCACCCCCTCCCTCCAACTGGGGACCTTAACCCAGGGCTTCACTTAACTATGCTCAACCACTGACCTTCAGCCCCAATCCCAGCATCTCTTACTCCTAGGCTCAAGTGAGCCTTCTGATTTAGCTTTCTGAGTAACTAAGATATGAGACTACACAGTGCATCCCTGTGCCTGGCATCACTGTGCCCGGCTACCCCTCAAGTTTTATTAGAGGCAGGGCTGGCCATCCTGGGCCCAAGGGGCAAGAGGGCACTGTGGACAGGCTCCTGTCCTATCCTCCTCTGTCACCGAAACAGGTAACATTGGGAGGTTAGTTCCTGGGTTCCTAGGATATGTGCAAATTCTAGCCGTTTGCTTGTTACTCTTCCACTGTACCCCCTGCCCCCAGTGTTCCTGTTTTTCTATCTTTATTGTTGCTAAATCACAGCTGACACTTTCCTGGCCTGGGACTGGACCCTCCAGGCTCCAGCCATTCCTTATAGGAAGTGAGAATGGGGAAGTGGATGGGGGAAACAGTTTCCAGAGGGAGAGGTTGGCAAGGGAGGGGCTGGTATGCACTGGGCTTGTGCTGACACCAACAGCCCCAGGCAGGGATCTTCCCTAGGCACTTTCCCTTTACCTCCCCACAGCTTCCCACACTCAGGAAAGGCCTGCAAAGCTTCCTTCCTTCCTCTGGGAAGCACATCTATCTAGCGCAGGCTCATCCCTGGTGGTCACACAAAGGCCCTTATCAGCCATGGAGCCAGAAGCAGAGACCCAGAAAACACCAAGTCTCACATATTTCCTGTTTCCACCCAGCGGGTCAGGGGTGGGCCCAGAGCAGCCATATCCTGACTGGAGCCAAGAGGAGGGAGAGCAATCCCCTTCCCTTTTCCGCCTTTCAATCACATGTTGGCCGGACCCATTCCAGTCAAGCGTGGGGGGGGGAATGGGGGGGCAGCTTTTCAAAAGGAGGCCAGAACTGGAAAATATGAAGGGGAGAGTGAGCAGGTGAAGAACAGGAGGCCCTAGAGTCAGTTCCAGGGTTATATGAATTTGAATGGGTAGGTGAATATACTGCTTTCTTTTTTGGCAACTGCCCTCTCACAATAATCTTGTGAACAAGTTCCCCATTTGTATTTTACTGACATCTGAGACTCTTATGTGGACAGGGTAGGGTAGGACTGAATATGGAACACTGATTCAAACCCAGATGTTTAGATCTCATTCTTGTATTTCTGGTCCACTCCCCCCATCATCAAGGAATCACACGTGTTTAAAGCGACATTTCTTATTATCCTCCAATAGAACAGAAAGAACATGGCTCATTAGAAGCTGGGGAACAATTTTTAATCACATGGCTCCCGGGGTAGAGTATAGAATGTAGAACAACTGGAATGACTATCTCAGGTTATAGGATGGATGTTACAGTCATAGAGCAAACTCCCTGAGGTATCTTCTGGGAGAACTATTGAATCACCAGCAGCAGAAGGCATTTGGCAGGAGTGGGAATAAGCTATGTCCACATGGCACCTGGAGAATGTTCCCTGAAGCACTTGGGTCAGGTCCTCCAAAAAAAAAAAAAATCTTTTTTTTTTTTTTTTAATAGTACTGGAGATTGAACTTAGGGGCACTTAACCACTGAGACACATCCCCAGATCTTTTTATGTTTTTTATTTTGGGACAGGGTCTAAGTTACCGAGGACCTCACTAAGCTGCTGAGGCTAGCTCTGAACTCACAATCCTTCTGCCTCGGGCTTCTAATTCACTGTGATTACAAGCTTGAGCCACCATCCCTTGACTACAGAATGTCTCAACCCCAGCTCTCCCTTGAAGCTCTCTGCCTGCTTCCAATTCTAGGTTCCAGAGGGTCCAGACAGAGAAGCATTTTCTTGCTCAGGACTCATGACAAGATGAGCTTGATCTGTCAAGGATCACCCTGGAAATCTGTAGCTTTAGCTCCTTTGCCACCTGTCAATCTTTCATAAGAAGGTAAATGAGGCCATGGGCCTAACCCACCTGCAGGAGCAAACCTAGGGTCTAACAATTCTCTCTGTTCAAGCCCTGGTGTTTTCTGGGCCAGACTCCACCATGCAGGGGGTAGATTGTGCTGGTAGGAGGACCCTCACTGGACCCATTTACAACCACTACATAAGAGCCTGAGTAGAGGGGACCCTCCATACTCTCTATTTAGTCATACTTCTTCTACTGAAAGCAGGGATCCCAGATCCTCTGATCATCTCCCAAAGGGACAAGCTATGAGATGTCATGACTTCTGAAACTCAATGTTACTTTTGCCAACCAATCTATGGAGCCTGCACAAATGGAAGCATCTCCTCCTCCCAGGCTACCTGAGACCCAAGATTGTGTGACAAGAATGCAGGTCTGTGCCAGATAGGACATGTGCCTGGCAAGTCTGTTTGGATGGGACTGGATTTGTGGGAAATCAAGAAATGAGATGCAGGCTGGAGGATCCTTCTTCTATCCGGTGGACTGTCTCCAAGTCTTTGCTATTGACAAACTAGTTGGTTTCACTCACATCTCAGCAACAAAAACCTGTATTTAAGTGCTAATACTAGAGCTCTGGCCTGGAGAGAACAAGTCTGGCTAGAACTCACTTTGGGAGGTGGATAGGTGGAGGATACTTGGTTGGCTGAGGCTCAGGGGTTGGGCCCGGTTCACAGCACCCCTGGCAGTGGTAAGGCAGAGCTGGCTGCCAGCTCAAGCCTCCACCCTGGATTCACTCACTCCCATCTTGGCTCAGAACTTGCTGGGTCTCACCCAACGGTTCCTCCTCCTTCAAAAAGAAGCGAAGTGGAATCTGTAGGGATAAAACAGATGGCAAAAAATGGAATTCAGGCCTTCCTCCATACCTTGCCATCATTTTCACTACCCAATGGAGGCAGCCCCACAGGATTAGGTTGGCTCCTGGGCCAATGGCCTCTGGGAACCCAACGATAGGCTCAAATCCTTTCTAATAATACCTTTTCCTTTCCTCCACCAGCAGCTCTTACCTTGAAGGGTTTGCTTATCCCCACCACAGAATTCAGATTGTTGCTATAATAACAGAGAAGAAACTGATCCTCAGTCTCAGGGATATTGCTGATGTTCATGTACACCTGAAGGGAATGATGGATAGAAATGGTCAGTTCTAGGGCGCTTCCCAGCCCTTAGGGGTAATTTATCCAGCACTCTGTTCTTTCCAGAAGGCAGGACTGTTTAGACAAGCCCACCTGCTGAAAATGTACCTGGTTGTTGCATACAATGTGTCAAAATGCATTCTACTATAATGTATAACGAATTAGAACAAATTTTTAAAAATCGTAAATAAAAAATATACCTGGTTGAGGTTGTCACTGAAGGAGATCTGGTTGTCCCTGGCCCAGACATAGGACACATAGTCATTAACATGGCGCATCCCCACCTATGGGGGAGGGAATTGGGTAGTCAGTAGTTGGGAAGGACATAGGACCTATAGAAAGGGAAGATGAGTCTCACTGATTGGGGGAAGATGGTCTTGCCATTATACTATCTTTCTTCCTTTCTTCCCTGCTAGCCCTTAGGACCTGTGAGATGGAAGACTAAGTTCTTCAGTGTCTCTGCTCAGTTCCCATGAGCCATCAGGAAGGATAGACCAGTGGCTATGGCTGGTAGGCTCCCCAATTTGCCCACACATCACCTTATATAGTCCAATCCAGTCCCAGGAGCTGCTGTGGAAGTTGGGGGTTGAGGAGTAGCTGACCAACATGTCATTCTCCATGGTGCACAAGCCATCAGGTATCATGGTGATCAGTGGGACAGTCATCAATGGTTTCAGCTACAACAGGGAGGAGAAGCAGGTTGAAATTCAGTAACACTATTCCCTCCTCTAAGGCAACTGTTCCTCACTGTGCCCTTCCAATGCAGTACAGGGAGCAGGGATACCAGAGCGGGTGGGCACAGAATTTTGTTAAGTCTGTCCCAGCAGCAGAAGATCAAAGAAGGTGAGGTTTGGATTTTGGAGTTAGACCTGAGGTTGAATTTGGCTTCCCTGCTTACTAATGGTGTGAATGTAGGGCCAAAAAGAAAGGGCCAAAAACTTGTGTGAGAAAGGGCCAAAAACTTGTCAGGGGAGTAGCTGGCCCTGCCAAGGAGAATGGGGTTGAGTGCCAGATGGGCGACACAAGGTGCCCAGTGCTAAGGGTGAAAGTGGAGGGAGAAGGGGATTTGCTGAGAGGTTTAAGAAAGAAGTCGGGCAGCTGTTCTCAGGCCTCCAAAGGTTCTGACCTAGAGGCCCAAACCCAATTTTGAGGCAGGGATGCTCTGATAAGAAAAGCTATTAAAACATGGAAGGGCACAATGATGTAGGAAAGAGAAACCAACATGAAAGCTTGAAGGCTGAGAGGGCAGCCAGCAGCTTGGAGGTCAGCACTGTCTTGGTTGTTTGTGAGATGGCAAGATACAGGGATGGAGGGAGTTCCTTCTGCAACTTGATCCAGATAGGTTTAAGACAAATAAAGGAAGTCCTACTTCACACAGTAGGTAATAAGCATAATGGAACTCATTAGTCCCAAGGGAGAGTACCAAGAGGAAACAGAAACCTATTCACAAAGGGCTTGAACATG